GTTTCAAGGCACTTCACATAATAAACATTCCAATCCAGGTCAGTTCATTAAGCCAATCAGAAAAAAGTTTCCTGTATAAGGAACCCAGCAAATTGCATCAAGTCACTGACTAGTGTCAAAACAAATTAGCCTGATAACTAAAAGATCTGCCTCCCATCGTATTTTTAGATATTCTGGGAACCACCAGTAGACCTGCAGTCTGAGAGCCAAGTGCTCGGTTAGGAACATATGGAACAATCAGATCACTGATGTATGATGGAGCTTGATTATTAAGAGCTTTATATGTGAGACGGTAGATCTTAAAATCTATTCTGAATTTAACAGGTAGCCAATGTAGGGAAGCTAAGACAGGAGAGATATGATCTCGCTTTTTAATTCTCATCAGAACTCTAGCTGCAGCATTTTGGACAAGCTGAAGACTTTTAACTACATTCTGTGGACTTCCTGAGAGTAATGATTACAGAAAATAGAAAATGCAACTTCTCACCTGTTAACTTTCATGTTTTGGAGCAGAAAAAGAGCATAAAACCAACATATTTAAAGCTCAGTTTGCTCCACTGGTTTACTGTGATGCTCACCTGTTCCAGCCAGATACCTGCATCATGGGGCTGATCTGAGCTGAGGAGGAGACTCCTGTTGTTTTGTTCATCTTCATCATAATAATGACAACATTAGATGACAACAGGTGCTCACATAGGTTTGTGCTGATGAACATGTCTGAGCAGCTTGACCATGTTGTTGTGTGTCGGGGAGGAAAAATAACAACGACAGCAGCCACAGAGTCATGCTGGTTTGAGCGCATCACTGCTCGCTGGAGTTATATCAGCTCTGGAAGTTAGTTGGAAAACTTTCTCTTTCAGTCATGAACACATTACTGAGTGGTTAAAATCTCCGTTTCTGGGCTTCAACGTCGGAAAATAGCTGAGTGAACTCGGCGCTGAGTGAGAGGAGTGTTCAGTTTGTCCGAGACAGCGGAGCTGCAGACACCGGCAGCAGGCGCTGGAAAAAATACAAAGGAGGGGGCACTTCGGTTCCGCGCTAATGCCGCAAAGCATCATGAGAGATGTAGTCTTTGCGGTAAAATCGGCCAGCGGGTCTGTTTTAATAAATTTTTTTTATTTATCTTGCGGGCAACATAAAAATGCTCCGCAGGCCATGTGTCTGACACGTGCTCTACATTTATATAGAATATCACAGCTTATCGGTGATAAGTAAAGGTAATATATTAAGCTTAAAAGCAACAATATTTACCCCCACAACATACTAGTTATTTAAAATAAAAAAGTTTGAGGCTGGATATTTCTTCTTGTTTTTGATTAATACACGCTAACATCAAACAAATATGAGCCTAGTTGTGGGTGTTCTGTAACTGTGCTACATTTCACCAAAAGAATAAAATCTGTTTTGAAGTTTCACAAATCAGAGAAAGGTTTCACAAATCACAAACTATGTTTTATGCAATCTGCTATTAGTGTAGAATAATCCAGTATAGGGCTGCACAATATATCGCAAATATATCGTTATCACGATATCAGCATGCTCAATATGCATATCGCAAAGAACAGCTAAATATTGCAATGAATGGTCAGCTCAAATGTTTGCTACACATAATGCATTCTGTCAAACGGAAGCATGATGGATTTTTTTTAACAAATCAAATAGAGCTCTTCACTCATTTGGCCAGTTGGGTGGATTCTCATAGGTTAGATGCCCACCCCCGAGACGGACGACACTTAATTTAGAAGCTAACGCCAGCCTATCCATGCTAAAGGTCCGTCAAGGGGGTAGGAAATCCAGCTTAGGCACGCTAATGGCTAGCCTCTCCAATGCTAACACCAGCCCGTCCAGGCTAACGCCAGCCTATCCATGCTAATAGACAGCAGAGGGAGTGTGTGATCCAGTCAATGACCAGCCGAGGGCTGCTAGTCCCTAGCGTATCTAGTAGTAACGTCGGTAAAGGTGCTATTTCTCAGTAAGCAGCGCCATCCTCTCAGTTACCGGTGCCAGCTTATCATTAATCAGGTCGGTAGTTTGCTTCAGAATTTATATAGCCTCCTGCAGTAGTCTTAATTTTGGCCCCCATACCGCACCATAGTAAATCTGCAAGGAAAGGAGTAGCAGGATTAAAGGGGCATTATGGAAGTTTGACAGCCAAAACATGTATAGAAATAATAAATTTCTTCTTCATACATTCTCCTGCAATGCCCTGGTCCTGTAGAATGAGCCCTGGCATTTTTACTGTGATTGCCTGTTTTTCTGTAAAATCACAGAAAAAGAGAGCTGCTCGGGTCGAGCAGGCTGCTTCATGCGCGTTCACGCACAGGCATCGCCCGTAGCATTTGCTATCCGTAGCTTTAGCAGCAGAGAGTGAGGTAGTGCCACTTTGTCTCTGTTCCTAACACCTAGTGATGAACCTAGCTACATTTCTGAGGACCCTTAGCTACTTTTTGTAGAACTTTCTTCTAGATATTTTCTGCAGATTAGCAACAAAATAGCCATTTTCGCTCTGAACTGTTCTTTAAACGTTGTTTCAGCTGTCATCAACGACATAAAAGTTACAGATACAAAAGATGCTACTGGCCCATTAGCTCACCTAGTAAGACTCTCATGCAGAAGATCCAGGTTCGAATCTGGATGTGAACATAATTTATTTAGAATTTATTTTTTACATTAATTGTATATTTTTTTACAGTAAGATGCCCAAATTTTTATTTGAGACTTGCCGAACGGCATTGAATTCACAGATAAAAAAGATGTGGGTTCAACTTTCATTTTGGAAAAATTTTCCAAGCAAGGGAAGGGAATGATCTGAGCATGCAGGAGGACTGACCCATCTTAAACCTTTGTCGGCTGTGCTGAAGAGAAAGGTACAGAACCAAATTATTTAATTAATTAGCTGCGTGTTCTCCTGTCCTCTGGGCCACACACACATACACACACGGGACTGTCTCAGCTGTTTTTTCGTTAAGGAGTGTGCACGTACTGCATGCGCGCCTCGTGCACGAGCCTACTATTGACGCTGCCGTTACGCTTTTGGCCTGAGGGGGCAATCGCGAGCATAAATATTCAAAACTCCGTAAAGTCCCTTTAAGAATTATTTCGCAGAACATTAAAAACCGCCTCAGCCCGTGAGTCTGAAATTTCCTTTAAGGTGAGGTAAGAGATATTTTTCTGGTGCATTTCTTGCCATATTGCTTGAAATGCTCTTCACATATCAATGGGAACCAATTAATTACATCTTTTGTTAAAATAATTAAGAATAATTTTAATCGCCTCTGAAAGTTCAATCCTTGATAAACCTCATCAACTAGCTCTTATGACTGTCCCTCCCCTCTCCGCACAAATCGCACATGCTCAGCTTGGAGTAGGTAACAGGAAGCGAATCCCTAGGGTAGGGCAGGTGCTGCTATTGATGTCGACTGTAGGAACAGAAAGAGCTGCTAACCAGTGCCTTGGTGGCTCTATTTCTACTTGATAGGTTAAATCCTACACAACAGATCTGTTGTGTACGTCATTCTCCCTTATTCTGGAGGTGTGTCTTAGAGGGGAGCCCGAGGAAAAGGGGCTGGACCTTTGAACTGTGTTTTTTCAAAATGTAACATTTGAAATGCCTAATCTAGGAACTCCTCCTACCTTACCTTTAATATGTCACAAGCCGTTTTTACAAAATAATGCTGTCAATGCTCAGGCGGCATCAGGGAGCTATAAGTCGTTTATAATGATAAATGACTCACACTTGTATAGTGCCTTCCAGAGTCATAGGACTCCAAAGCGCTTTACACTTCATCCATTCACACACACATTCACACACTGATGGTGATGAGATACAATGTAGCCACAGCTGCCCTTGGGCACACTGACAGAGGTGAGGCTGCCGAACACTGGTGCCCCTGGTCCCTCTGACCACCACCAGCAGGTAAGCTGGGTTAAGTGTCTTGCCCAAGGAAACAACAGCAGAATTATCTGTCCAGAACCGGGATCAAACCTGCAACCTTCCGAATACTGGACAACCCGCTCAACCTTCGGAGCTTCTGCTGCCCCAAGTGGTCAGACAGACAATTACTGCAATATGACCAAGTGAGGCGGAACAAATTCTGCAAAATTAGCGCATTGCCATGCTGGCATGGCGCGTTTATAAGACCCACTGTTGCGATAATATTACACTGATTTGCTAGCATGATGTGTCTTGTAAAAACAACTGTAGTCAACACTTTCTACATCAGTCAGAGCATAAAGACTTATTCAATAAAGTAATTTATTCTCAGTGAGAAATAAATAATGTAATGGAAGAATAATAAACTGAAGGGGAGAGTACTGTGTATGCTTTCCTTTTCATGGCAGCCACCAGTGTGTCTTACTGGGTCTGTTTGTGTGTACAGGAGTGTCTGGAGGTGTTGTGCAGCCATAGTGAACAGGACATCGAGAGGAGGGATAAATGTAATCGCACCATTCATGACGTTGCCACGGACGACTGCAAAGATCTGCTAGAGAACCTCGGTGAGTCCTGCGTTTAGCTGTTGGTTTACACTAGCTTTAGGTGTGATTTATTTCAGTTTCATACAGACAGGCGAGACAGACTAGCAAACCATTATCACACAACAGGAGGAGCTAGCGCCTGTAAAATCGTCTCTCCCTGCTCAGGAAACACGCACACATTCATGGGGCTGGCTGTGGGGGAATGACGTAGAGTAAGATGTGTGTTTGATGCTGTGGGGGTCCAGGGTGTTCTTCATATGATCGGATATTAGATCAGAAATAATAATGAGGAAGAGTTTGGAAGTCTTGTTGTTGAGGAGCAGGTGAAAAGGAACTATGAAAACAGACTCTCCTGAGGTTTTCTGTGATAAACCAGCACACAGTAGCTCGTCATTGTGAAGGGGAAAACACTGGTACGTTGTTTTCTAAATAAATACCTAAAAAGTGTGCCATGTATTTTTATTCAGTTACCTTTTTTTAGAAATACTACTTTAACTTTATGTTCTTAGATATTTATTTTTTACTCTTTATCCTTTCAGCATTTGAATATTTTTCCCTCTAAACATGATGTCTTTAAAAGTGAAACTGGAAAATCCTCTGTTTTTCCATCTGAGCAGTGACACATCTGCTGTCGTATCTATCTGAAGACCAACCTGTTGGAGTGTAGTGACAAGTGGAGCATTACAGCAGAAACATCCCTCTGATCAAACTCAAACTCCCCTCTGTTTCTCAGTAAAAAGACACGTTGTGTCCCACTGTGTCTTCTTCATCAAAGCTAATGACAGTTGTCCTCCTCCTTTCCTCCAGACTCGTACCGGATCTTGGTGCGTCTCCAGATTTCGGGTGGAGGGACTGGGTCCATGTGTCCTGTTGAAGCCCTGGAGGAAGAGGAGGCAAAGGGCCTCTCCAGCAGCCAAATGGTGCTGGGTAGAGTGACGGTGGACCGCTCAACCCGTTGGGCTCAGCTGAGCGCCATCCTCAGCCACATCTTCTTGTCCCACCTCCAGATCCTCTGTGGAGAGTCTCAGACAGCGAGAGAGGAGGGACAGTGTCCACCACTAGGCCTTTCTCCTTCCAGTATCTCCTCTTTCTGCATCGGTGAGGAAACACGCTCGTTTCCTTTCTTCTTCTCTGGGTTGCTCTTTTAGTTTTTGTCTTATTGCTTTAATAGAGGTGAGAAAGTGCAGCGTGTCATCCATCAGGAGGCATAATTTCAGGGTCATGATGATGTCACCAGGATTATTTCTCTAATTCAGTTGTGCTTGTTTTAATCGGCTTCACATCAGTTCAAATAAAACCAACACATCAACTAACTGGAGGAAGGCCTTCAGGAGGATAAACTGGTGGTTGTTTCGGGTGCACGTGGGCAGAATCTGTGCAGCAGTTTAATCACTGTTAAACATTGTTTACATGCTTCAAATCCCTTTATGTAATTATGTGTTTATATTAGGGGAGGGACTCGGTTAAAAAAATTAATCTAATTAATTAGCGACTTTGTAATAAATTATTTGCATTTTAACCATTCAGGAAAATGTGCCGTCAAAGCAATTTTTTTATTAGAATGATGAGACAATCAAACATTAGACATAGTTATTACTGTAAACTAAAGCTTTTAATTAAAAATGCTTTATTCAAATGTAACTGTGTGATATGAAACAAGACCCAAATCAACTCAAATTTATAACTGCAATTAGAAAACACCTGCAAATGGTTCCTGTGCCTTTAAATTGTCTCTCAGTCTAGCTGATTTACTGAAATGAATGGACTTTGCAGATTCTAATTTTTCCCATTTCGCTTGTTTTTTTTTGGGTGTTTTTATTAACGTTTCTATTTCTCATGATGTAGTAAAAACATATATATTAAAAATATCCTTAAAAATGACAGTAGAACAGGCACAAGCGTGCTCGAGGACTTATATTTACTAACTTTTAACACCAGAGCAGGCGTGACATATTCTGAGAATGATCAGGAACACTAACTGGTTCCACTTGGATGACTGGTGGATGATAGGAAGATAAAAGATCATGGCGAGGAAATAATGATCTAATGAACAGGTGAGCGGACCTTCTTTACATGGGAAGTCCTGATGTCACGTTAAGAAGGGGATGCTGCAGACCCGCAGATTCACAACTGCAGCAGCGAATCTGGTGTGATCTCCAGCCTGATCACAACTTCCTCGTTCCTCGCTGCCCCGATGCACTTAAACATCCGCCTCTTTAGCTCCCAATCAGCTGATAACCGCTTCAACGCACCTAGCTGCTTAGTGATGGTGACGCATGCGATGTGTCTCGTCTCAGAAACATGTAATAAACAGACAGAATTGTTCAGAAAATCATCAGAAAGATTTTAGAACGTTTCTGTTACTTTAAGACACGTTTGTTTGTAACTGTTTACAGAGTAGTGAGGACAGGGAGCATTTTCCCAGCTGCAGCCAGGTGCCTCTCGTTTGTCTGACTATCATAAACTGGTGTTAAGGGCAAAAATTATTCTGTCTGGAGCTTTCAGCGCTGCACAAAAGTTACATAAATGTTAAAAATATAGCTTCCCTCAAAGTTTCCGGTGCCACCCGGCAGCAGCAATCGGAGATATTCTCTAAAAAATGTTCGCGGCACAGACTCCGTAGTTGTCAGGGAGTTGTTTTTCGTTGTTTTTTTGTTGTTTTACAAGTTAAGAAAAGAGGCTGGCGTGTTTCCTAAATCCTGCATCAGTCCAAGCAAGGCAATTTCTTTATTTTTTTATTCCATTTTAGTAGCCATTAGCTCTGTGCATTGTTGTGTATGTCAGTGATATTCACTCTACGAGGAAATCATGCAGTGACAATGGCTCCACCTTGCTTGAAACGCAAGCTGTGATTAAATGTGTGATTTAACACGTTAAAGTCCTACCCCAAGTTTACATTACTGTAGATTTTCAAAAACAACATTTTATGTCAGTTTTTTTTTTCCAAAAGTCAACTTTGGCATTTATTTGGTTTATTTATCAGTAATGAGAGCTAATTACAGCTAAGATCCATCAAAAGAAGCTTTCATAATGTCGGTATTCAGCATGTTAAATATCTTCTTGTGTTTGATTTAAGACGGAACTGGAAA